GCTGTGTTCGTGGTCTCAGGATCAAACACTGTAGAAATAGCTATGATGGCGAGGGTGACGGTCGGTAGGTGGTGGTAGGGGTCGCACCGAGACAATCCCTAAAGGGGGGTCGCGAAATTTCTGAAAATGTGCGAACGTCACGGTTGACCCTGGCCCCACCTCTCATCCGAGACAGCAAAGTCATCGCGACGTAGTTCTCGCTCGGACCACTGATTCTTTCCCAGTACTATTCAAAAAACGTATGGTAGAGGGAAGAAAGCGGTTGATAATAAATTGCTTAAGAATGCTGGGCCATAAACCTTTGGCGACACTCGTGCCAGCACCTCTCCCTTACCGGGCAAGTGCGCTACAATGGGCAAGTGCGTAGTCTATAAGCTAGCGTGAAAAGCTGAGTTAAGGCGGATAGTGTCCCGATAGCATTTGCTTATAGCGCACTTGCCCGGTAAGCGAGAGGTGCGGGTTCTAGTCCCGCCTGGGGCGAAAGTTTTGTTCACAACCCAGCATTCTTGTGAAACATTCGCAAGGCGAACTGCGGCCAAAAACAGCAGTTAACAATCAAAAACAAGTCAAAAATAAAGTTAGTGTTGTTAGGCCAACCTAAAAATAGTCCTTGGAATTCGCCGCGGCTGTTCGAAGGCGAATTGCTTAGGAATGTGAGGGCACTGAAAACTTGCCTACCTAAAATGGATGCGGCAGTCTAGGCTCTAATTGTAGGTTGAACAAAAGCTTCGTTGTCCAAGCGCTTGCATGGCTAGTATAATAAGTGAGCAAATGAAACATTTATGAAGGGCCTAGGCACTTCCTTCTTCAAAGACGCACCATGCCCTCGACTTCCATTCTATACCTTTGGGATAAATATTTGGCATATGCAATATTTCTGATCTGAAATCAAGCCTTCCAGCAGATTCCGATAATCCGGTAGCGACTAAATCGACCCAGAGTGGGACCGTGGCTGGCCTGTGAAAAGTAGGGAAAGTGGCTCAGTAAGAGGTTGAAAAATCACAGCAAAACAAGGACCTAGTGCTTGTCGTGAGAGCAAACTTCTTTTCAAAACGATTTCATAAATCAATGTATTACTTTTCTTGTATTAGGTTGTCCCATAATTAGTGAATCACTTTGGGTATTTTTGAATTCAATTTTTTTCTTTTTTATGTGAGTCTTTGCTCATCCAAACATACACCTCTGTCATCTACAATGTATTGCCTATACAAGGAAATTTAGTCGCTGTCTTATCTCTAGAATTCCAGGAGCTATTGATCGAAGAAAGATCGGAAGTCGAGTTTGAGGTCATGTCACTTAGCGTAAAATTTCTTCCTGGGGAAGAGCGCTAGAGGTCAGACTGAGTTGTCTCTTGTTGGCACGAGGATAGGGCCACACAGAGGAAGTGAAAGAACTGCTAGCCTGAGAGTCTCCAATTTTTTATGAATATTCTCCGCAAGGTGGGGTCGAACGACCTCAGGAAAAAAGCAGACTTTGTCTTGCTTTACTTTCAAATTGAACGCGTCGCCATTACGCTGTAGATGTTGATCTTCTTCAGTGACCCTAGTATTACTGGGCGGCGGTTCCCAGCGCAAGGTCACTCTCGTGCTCCACCAATATCTCGGACTCGAAGGAGGTTCGGCTTTTGCTGTCAGAACTCCCGAATCGTTCATGCTAGGCTACTGCTTTTGGAGATTTGCTAGTACACTCACCCAGTCCAGAACCCTGGTGAATATGCTGGATGATCACTGTAAGGAACTAAGGGAGATCAGAAGGAACATGATGATGTCAGATCGTGTGTGGAGCTGTTTCGGGCTCAGAGCATACAAGATACAAACTAAATATTTTAAAATCTTTACAACTCTACGTAGATGTCTACATTCCATCATTTTAACAAGTCGGACATGCTCTAGCAAATGGCGACTAGTTTGTCCAGATCCACCCTCAGTGGCGCTGGGTACAGCAGTGAGATTGCCAGTTGAGGGGTAGTTGGAGTGTGGGTCATCTTCAACTAAAAAAGCCAACCTCTCGATAGAGTGAACTACAAGCAGACCGTGGATTGAGGGAGCGTGCCCTCGCCTATCTGCTGGTTGATTCTCTATGTTGTTGGGCGTTTGAAAGATCCTAATCAGAAGTGATTAAGAAGGGAGCTCAAAAATAGGTTCCAGAAAAATTGAAGTATCAGCCACGGAAGGCAGCATGTAAATGGGCTGAGTAATTGCTCAGGTAGGATAATGTGGATGCTACTTCGCAAAACATGTTTCACGCCTTCACCATTTTTCTTGGATTTTTTATAGCAATAAATGTAAAGTGATTCACTAATTATGGGACAATTATAATAGCTTTTTCTAACACCTCAAAGGGTTCCCTGCTCAAAAAATGGCCTAAAGGGAACCAGCCGGATGGTTCTCCACAACTGCGGCCATGTACACTGCGACGCAATTATAGTTCCACCTACAAATTTCCCAAAAACTTGAATCTGGGGATGTTTTTGGAAAAGGCTCTACAGATAAATTGTGACACATATAAACGCGAATCTGAATATTAACACGGAAATCCAGTTTGAGAAAGCAACAATTTTTTATCCTTATTTTTTCGAAAATATCCGCTTTAGCTTCTCCGCTGCATTTTGCTTTTACCCAATCAAAATTTGGAATTATATCCATTCAAGTTCCTTAGCTTATAGCAAAGGCAAAACCGCTGTCACACTTCCGTAAAAGGGAAATCCTAGCAAAAGAGACGCAGGAATTGTCAAAGTGTCAGCTCCGCTGGAATTTGTCGGGGTGACTTCATAACGAACAAATTTCTCAAGGATGCTACAGGATATGACTGGGAGGAACCCTGATTACTATCCGACTGAGATAAGCGCCGTATCGTGAGAAAATGATATCCAGCCGGGTACTGAAATTGTAGGTGGAACTATAATTATGCGTCGCAGTGTATTATAGCTTTTGGAAAAACCTCACCAATTTTTGAGCTGGAAATCAATAACTCGACTTATACCGACGGAATTTGCTATTGGCTGATAGCAAGTGTCCCTGTAGAGATGGTTGTTGCAGAGCTCCATATCATCGTAGCGATATCTCTCATTAACTCTGCTGGGAGTTATCCTACACATCCATCGCTCACCCTTAGAAAATCGATATTTTTCAGAATTGTTAGAGGAAAAAATCGGTCGAGAGGAGGAGCTCGATCGTGAAAGTGCTATTGGCAAAGCCAAGTTCTTCTACAAGCTCTGCTTGAACGAATGTAAGTTTTGAACGATTTGCTCCGCTTTTTGGCCGCAATTTCTGGTTTACCCAACCTTTGATGAGCATGAATGATTGGTGCAAAACGAATTGTGTTGGTTATTACACCATGCGCGCGTTGACAGCAACGGCGTCGTCAGTTATTATGATGGATTGCTTATCAAAGGGCATTTTGTCCGGGACAACTGCCATCAAAGCTATCCCGTGGTCCTCTTGAGCGAATTCCAAGACATATGGGATCTTTTTTAAGCAGAGATCTTCGATAACTGGCGAACAACTTTTGATGAGGTGGTGGCCGCTTTTGGAGGATGGCCAAGTCTCGGACATCCCATGCCGGAGCACGTGTCAATCGAAAAATTGTACGGTCGGTGCTTGTTTCTAGCTTTTAACCAGTAGACTGAGACCGAACGATTCCTCAGTTTTAAGGTGACATGGTGGCCAAATTTCGGGCCGATTCACTATTCAAGGCTACGGTACAGCCGGATGACAAGAACTCGGAGAAGCACGTTTTATTAGTAAGAGACGTTTTCGAGTTGCAGGACCCCTTCATATCTTTCATTCTAAAGAAATCGCGCCACATTATTACTGCCCCTAGATTCCACATTGAAGTTCAGAGCAAATTTTGAGCGCACTTCAGAAAAATCCATGGGGAAGCCTTCATTGTCTTGCGCACTCATCTGGCCAAGCTCATTCGAATCGCTGAGGAGCAGCGCTGACGGACTTCCATCGGACATTAGCAACTCAAATATCTCTGAAAGAAGGTTGCATACCCCATGTGTGCATCTCGGGACGGTGAAAAAAAGCATATTGTGGTCGCATAATACCTGTAGTGCTCTGCATCCTTCATCTTCACCACAAACATGGACTAAAAATAAAACCATAAAACTAATCAGTGATGTTCACTTCGTCATTTATAACTTTGATTGCATTTCGCAAAAAATCGCCGCCTCTAGAGTTCAACAAGTACTTGGCCGGTTTCATACACTTCGATGTGCTCAAGTTGTCCGACCCTGTGAACATGATTTTTGAAGTGAAGTCATTGGAGTCAACTTCAATGAGCGTTAATTCTGAAAAACTCCCTTTGTCTGTTTTTTCTCTATATAAAATTTTCTGTCCACCTTGACTTCCATAGGGCGGAATGTGTAGTCACAGTGCACGCGTACCAAGCGACCACGGTCCGAGCATCAATGTCCTGGTCGTGATCTCGGCAACCAAGGCCTTCCATATTCAGTCGGTAATTGATAACGGACTTGGGAGTCGAAAAAAAACACTGATATGTACATCGCGCCCGTAAGTCATTGTATAAATGCCACATCCGCATATCAAACGCTACCCCCACGAAATGTTACAAATGGAAGTGGAATGCGTGCCGCGCTCCTAAAAGGGATTGATCAACGGCAAATGCTTTATCCTTTATCCTTATTCTTTGACTTCCCTAATTCTAAGTACAGCGTCCGAGTATACATAAAATGTTGAAAAATATGACCTACGGTTTTTAAAGCGGAAGATACTTTCAAAAGTATACCGTTTTTTTGGTGATACCCTGAACAAACGATCCGAGCAGACCTTACCAAAACCAACTAACAAAACCAGAACCGCACACAACACTCATTAACACCCAACAATGAAGAAAAACGACGACACACACCCCAAAAAAAAACAAACAGACAATAGAAAACATAAAAACCCTATAATAAAACACATACCCACAACAAGAAATTCCTCTAGCCCAAAGGACGTGCGAAAAGTAAAAAAAAGAAGCAGCTCAAGAGCACCATATACCTTTTACGACTGCACAGCGCTGGTATCCCAATAATCACCCACACAGCGCCTCAGTCTCCGTGGCTCCTTCCGCTTAACGACTTCTCTCTCGCTCTCCTCTTCCACGGGGTTCCCCCGGCGACTCTCCGCAAACGCCAAATTGTGCTGCCTTTCTCTGACCCGTTTGCTCACTTTTCTCCCCCCACCCTTTCTCTATCCAAATCATCGCCTAATATTCTGAACAAAATCATCCTTCACGTTTCGCATCCTATCCCCAATGCTCCTTTGAGTGTAAACGGGACCATAGCATAAGGTTCCTACCAGTTTCTTCTGCGATTGCAGAGATCAGATAATCGCGGAAAAGCCCTCCTTCCATCCAGCTATAACATTATACACCGAAACGACACCACTTCACTGCCTTTGTGCGTGCACGTTCTTTGAAAACCTAGCCATGCAAGTCCGCTGCTAAAAAAATGAGTGATATACAGCTCTGACCATAGCTCGGCGCTATCTTTGGCTTAGAATGGAGGCAGCGTGAGAAAACCGGGTTTGCTCCTTTTCTGCTTGTTAAGCTGCAATCGATCAAATTTCTCTACGGACTCTAAAGTTTCAGCATCAGCAAGGTTCGCTGTTATATGAGTGCCTCTATGTATCGAGGCTACTGAAATGTATAAGTATTTGTCGACAGAGGCTAAAACAACCCTCGAGATGGCGCGCCTCCTCATCGGGTCCTTAGCAATGGGGCCACCTTCATAACGAGAATTTACTCGTTGTCACAATTTACATCCCTTCACGTTTTTTCTCAAAGTTCAGGATAGGTTAGACGCGGATACTTACCACTATAATACTAAGGGCGGAAGTGGTGTAGTGGCAAGTGGCACGCTTACCACGCGAGCGGTCCGGGGATCAAATCCTGGGTCGTGAGTCGCCCGGGCCAACCAAGCCTTCCATCCCTCCGGGGTCGGTTAATTGGTACCAGACTTGTCTGGGAGGATAAAAACACTGACTTGTACATCGGCTGGCCCCGCAAGTCATTGTATAGGCCACATCGCATTCAAACGCCACTACGAATGTACAAATGGAAGTAGAATGCGTGCCGCATCCCAAAAAGGGATTGATCAACGGCAAATGCTTTATCCTTTATCAGATAGGACTACTGGAACCTGAAAGCTCTCAAAGACCACATTGCCGCCGGGCAATTGCCTTCATTTGTGTAGTCGACGGTAGCTGATCGAGTGTAAAATAGATTGTTTGCTATCAATTCATGTTCAGATTTTCGTATTATAAAAAACGGTAGTAAAAAGAAATATATGGAGGATATCTTGGGCGTCGTTTTAGTAATATTACAAAGGTAACCAGCTGTTAACTTGGGGGAGAGTCGTTTCCAGCCAAAACGCTTCGAGATGTGTTCCTCGTCCTCCTGTCCCTACTTCAGTGGTGTATGAAGCCAGAACCGAGTACTTCACCGAATTCGCCTAGAAAATCCTAGAACTAAGGAAATTCTGGTAAAATGGGTCAGGGTCAAACATGGGTCACGTAATCAGCATTGGAGAGGCCAGCGTTGAATTCAGCCTGCTTAGAGGGAGCTTTTGTTTGAGGATTCAGCGGGAGGGGTCTGGTAAACTCTATTTCGGGATTTTGAGGAATTGCGAAGGAAATATGAAGTTCATTCAGCTCTATTATGGAAATTGTGAGGATGGAAAGGAGAGAAATAGAGGTCGAGCTGCGACATTAATACTATATTAGGTGTTTCAGAAAGTTCTGTCGTTTTCCAGCCCCTAATTTTAAATGCACGTATCTCGGCTTGGGCTAAACCTTTCGAGTTGATTAAAAAACCATTTGAAAGCGCGAATCTTGTTCTATAAGAAACCGTTCAACAGGGTACGTTTATTTGGAATGCTGGACCTCTGGAGGCGATGAACTGAGGGAAGGTCGTTTTAGCATCATGTTGGTTTTTGATGTATTTCTCTTCAAGGAAGCTATCGAGATCGTCAGAAATTTGACAGTAGATAGTTCAAAGGGTCTACTAAGTAAGATGTTCGCAGAACCACTCTGAAGTTCAGCTGGTACAACTTGTGAAGGGTTGGCCGTGCGATGTGCGTTCAAGACACCTTTCAGGGATGTGTGTTCCTTTATAATGAGGAATGCTGGACCCATGTCCTAGAGTTTTTGATGATTTTTGAATTAGTATAAAGATTGATTCTCCACTGTAACAGTTCCATCTGATACTGAAGAACATGGCCAGCCGCTGGCCCCATGAAAGCTGCCACAACCCTCCTCCAGCACAGTTTAAATTCTGCAAAGTTTGTAGAGCTTCATCGCCGTCGATCTATTCAGCAAACTTTCGTAGACTATAGAGAAGAATCCGCTCTTTATTGTACGTCGCAAATCTGTAGAGAAACGAGTCGCTTTCACCACATAAAACCAGCGACAATTTGATGGACGATGCTTCAAATTGGTGATTTGTCGCGGCACGCCACTATCGAATTTTTTAGACTTTCCAGCTTCTTCCGTATAGCTTGGCTGTACAAACCATATACGCCCACGTTGGGCAGAACCTCCTCTATGGTCTTACGCACGAGTGCTTCAATCAGAACTTTTGGCTAATCGGAGACACCGTCCGATGTCCGACCACTACTCTCATCATATTCAAGGCTCTCGCCTTCCTTACAATAAATTTTTTAACTACTGCTTCTGAGCACATTTATTGCAAATCTAGGCCCAAAGCATCGTTGATATCTTGAACTGTTCCCGCCACTTTCAGGTCTATTTAAAGCTAGAAAAAGAAAGTCATGCCAGCTTGCTCCTCGAGTATACTGAATTCAAAGCTTTGAAAAAGCTATAAGAAAATATTTTAGGATAAAGTTGTGCTGAGCATTGGATAGAGCTGGAAAAGTTCTTCAAAATGACATCAACATCAATTGCAGCTTTCCTAGATTTCAAGGGAAATAAAGCATCCAAAAGTGGAATGTCAGAAAACGACAGAACTTTCTGAAACACCTAATAATATTCCCTTTCGAAAAGAGGAGCTGGTTCCTATGGGTTTTAGCTTCCCTTTCCACGCACCATCCGCGCGCATTTCCATCATGAACGATCTGACTACCCACTCACAGGAATTTCTTAACGTGATAACCCCTAAAAGAGGGACTACGCAATCCCCGAATCATCATTGGTTTTTAGAACTTCGCGGTCGAAGGCTCAAAGGTTTTGGAGTTATCTAAATGGGAGGCAGGGTGCTCAAAGGTACCCCTATGTCGAAAAAAGCAGTGAAATCCATCAGAAAAACTTGAAAGGATAACCTCCTCGCTTAGCCTTGATCTTCGCTCAGGGTGGAAATTTCCTTTAGGCATGTACGTTGTTCAGTTCGGAGAAGAAATGGCCTTTACAGATTGATCAACCAGCGCTTAATCTGTTCGCACGCGGGACTTCTATGTCTTAGCTGAAAACGAAGAGCGACTGGCCTATTTGCAATTGATCAGGTTCGTTTTACTCTGAAAATCCTAGTGTCATCCTCTGGTCAACCAATTGTTCGTTCAGAGACGTGCTAGTGCTTCTGCATGCGCCTGCTGAGTCGGCCACACAAGACGCCGAGGAGATCATTGAGTTTGAAACCGCTCTCGCTAATGTTCGTTTTACTACAACTTGAAAAATTAATTTTAAAGGAATCTTCCACGGACCATGGACCAGTGGGCGGGACCGGAAGTGGTTTTGCGACGAAATGCATGGTAGGTACGGATCCACGTTCATGGGAAGGTTTGAAGTGAATCCTGTTCACGTTCGTGCGTTCGACACGTGGATCCGTACCTACCATGCATTTCGTCACAAAAACTTCCGGTCCCGCCCACTGGTCCATGGTCCGTGGAAGATTCCTTTAGGAAATTCCAAGAAACGGAAAGAACTGGTGTTCCATAGTAATGACTAATATCATCAAACCGTGGATGATTCCTACTGTAGTTGAATGAATCTACGACTCATAACTACGAGTACAAGGCGAGTAAAGGTGTAAAAAGATGGGACCTTGCGGGTGAAGCATAAGCCGCAAAATCGTTGACGGGGGTGTTCGGACAGTTACCAGCGGTCATAAGGCAGGGTCAACAGAGAACAGATGATCGTTAGCCTGTTGGAAGAAGGACTAGAAGCATCATGGAAACTGTGCGCTCGACATAGTGAACCCGCGATGGATTTCGGGCGTGCGGCGGCGTCACAGAAAACGGCTTTAACACATTGACGACAATGCGAGTTTTGGCTTTTTGGCCACGTGGGACCGCGGCGATTTTGCGGGCGCGCTCGCCTCAGGTCGTTCAAGCAGATTTTGAGTGATAAATACATAAATAATGATCAGTACAAAACCGGATGAGTAAATTGTAATAAGCACAACCAACTCCAGGTTGCATAGTAGTGAAATTTCGATGGAAAGACATGAAGTAACAATGAAACAGCGAAATATGGCAGAACTAGCTGCAATGGGCTTCAGAAGCAATTTTACGTCGATTAATTCCATCAAAACACATATTGTCATCTCTAAGGTTCCGTATCTACTTCTACTACTATTTAAATCTTCACATTCATAAAAAGAAAAAGTAAACGAAAAATTTATTAAACTGAAGATTTCGTATGGTTCAGAAATCCTCCTCTAAATTAAAGCATACGTGACCATTCTATGGGCCACTATGTTTGTAGCTACGTCAAGGTCTCTTCCATGGAATAAATACAAGAAACTTCTAAAAGAATCAGGCGTGCGCGAAAAAAATGAGTGTAATGGGTGCGGGGGATATATCCCGCACGGTCCGACATGGCCTGCAATGCGCGGGATATATATCCCCCGCGTTGTCGTCAATGTGTTAAGTAGTGCCTCAATTCCATTGTTCCACTGCGAAAAAAATGAAAATTTATTCCGTAAGAGGCAGTGCAAAAATAAAGCGAACCGCAATTTATTGGCAAATACATTTGAGCTCTTATAAATAAATATATATATATATGTATATATATATATATAACTTCTTGATTGAGTACAAAGCTGAAATTGCATTCTCATGAGAAATCTTACTCCATAACTCAATCATTTTCTTAGTTCCACAGAAAATCGGTATGGAAAGTGCGCGATGGGTGACATTTTGGAATCATAACGAGTTTCGACCCCTCAAACAAGCTGCGACGTCCGCACGCGTTGCAACACGACTGCAATACTTCATCTGATTTCCCTGAGCAGAATAGGAAGCCTCTTCACTGTGGAGGGGGAGGGAGGAGGGAAGGGGTGGTATTTGAAGACTCCCTGCTTGCATTGCGACCTCGTTGCAGGAAATGGAACTCTTTATTTAAAGGGAATTGACCGACACTATCATCCAGGGTCAAGCGTGCGCTGCGCGGTTCTCAACGATGGGAATCATATAGTGTGTTTTTAGTAGTGGGGAGGGGGTCGGGTCGTATCAGGGTTGGTGAAGGTGAGAAGACTGGAAAAAGGGCGAGCGTATTTGTGAAAGTTGGATGGATTGAGGTGACAGGAAAAGGTATCGTTTTCGCTCGCTCTTTGGACAATTATGGTGGAGGTATGAAAAATTAAGTATAAAGTACTGGAAATGAGGATTCGCCGTCATTAGGCATATAATATATTACCAAAGTGAGCGGAGTTAGGGTGCGTCGGCTGGTCTCAGAATCTCCGATTCAAATACTAATAGAAACAACCATGATGATGAGAGCTGCGGACGGAGATGGGAAGGGAGGGGCTCGTATTGGGGAACTCCCCTGAGGCTGATGATGTGGTGAGTGGTCTTATCAAGCCCCCTTGAAAAGAGGAGGGTCGTAAAAATTTTGGGGAACAGGGAACAGCGGACGGTTGACCCTGGTCTGATATTGGGGCCATGGGAGTGGTATGCGGCGGTGCTTCCACTGCAACACTTTCACTCAGTGACATTAATACGTGAAGAGGTACCATGTGAACGGTAGCGCTTGTTAGGGCCTCAACTTCCTTTTCGATTGGTGAGACGAACTTGTAGAAAGATGATATGGAATTTCAAGGCCTATTCTTCAACTCGTTACTAAGATTTCGCTGCGACGTCAAAATTCAGCATTCATGTGCGCTTCCTTATACAAAATATTTCTTCTGATTACTGTGCAGTCGAATAGAAATATTTGAGCAGCACAATGTTTCTCCTCAAAAATCACAGCTTAGATTGGTTGAAGTCTTTCTAAAGCCAGTTTGTTTCTAATTATTCCCAAGTGAATTCGGCAAGTTTTAGATTACAATGGCAGACGACCAACGTCACGATATTGCCGAGCTCTACACAAAGATGACTTTAGGGCAAATGAAGCAACAGCTGCCAAATTTCGATTGGCAGCTCTTCTTCAATCAAGTCTTTCGTGAGATCACTGATCAGGTAAGCTTCTTATAAAGGAGAAGGATAAAGGATAAAGCGTTCGCTGGCGATCATTCCCTTTTTGGGATGCACTTCCATTTACCACATCTTCCCGTACTTCCATTTGTAAATTCGTAGTGGCGCTTGAATGCGATTTGGCCTATACAATGACTTGCGAAGGATAGCCGATGTGAAAGTCAG